GTCTCTTTGTGCTGTGGTTGCTCCTTGGGTGGTTGTGGTAGCAGCTACTCCTCAGTTGGCAGCAGCTCCTCTGGTGGGTGCTGTTCACAGCTGTGGTGGCTCTTCTGGCTGGTTCGGGGAGGCTTCATGTACAGCTGCTGTTCCTCAGACAGAGGTTGTGGTGATCATCAGGCTGCTGTTGCTTGGATCTGCTTTCCGTGAGAAGCAGGACTCCATGTAGTCGCACTGTCCCAGATCCAGTGTCTCCAGGTTAGCAGCCGACCTCTGGATGCCGGGTCTTTGGGTGTACAGTATACGTTTCCAAAAAACAGCCACTCAAGATGGCGCGATCTCCATGGCTGAGCCGGTGCACTGGGAGAGATTTCAGCCGCCGTCTCCAACTTTCAATCGCTTTCTCAAGGATTCCTCCACAGTTCCTGGCTGCAAACTGTCTCTCAGCTGAATATCCTCTGCTTATTCGGGCTGTATGTTACCCGCTTCAGCTGCTCACCCTAACAGCTCTGGGACAAGGCACGGGACACGTCCGTCTATACCTCCACCATTTTTTTCTCTGTATTTGATGTCTTTCCTCATCTGTACCAGTTTATTTCAGAACAACTTAGGAAAGTGTAAATTTTGTCTAGGTTTAAACATGTGATACATTTTTCTAAATTACTGTGTAAGTGGTTACATGAATTTATGTAGCATTAATGTATAAATAATAGTTGGTTCTGGAAGTTTATATTTACTAGTTGACATTTACATTTATAAAATTTTAAAGTATTGGTAGAAAGGCATTTTTGCTTTCTAATGACCAAAACAAGTTAAACTATCAAGGTGAACTTCTACCTTATGTCCTTTAACAACACCCTCGGCAAGAAAGGGTTAATTAAAAAGTTGTATCTGTAGTTGCTAAAAGACAGTCTATACCACATGACAAGTTACTTTCCGAAGTCAGAAGAACAGTCTGGCAATATTTCTTTATTGAGTCACGATCATGTACCTCCCTCTCTTGCTCTGGCTTCCAGGATGCTCAGTCACCTCAATATTAACCAATGAAGAAGCATCACTATTTTTGTGTTACTTTACTCCTAGTTTTATTGCAATGACCTAATTTCACACATGCATCTTATACAAGCCCTCAAGTCTATTTTAGAAATAGGAGATAGAAAAAAAAATTAAATGACCTTTAGATTAATAAAAGATCAGGTAATGTCACTAAGGTAAGAGGCAAGGTGAGAGCAATGAGCAAAACTTTCATTCCCTTCCTGTTTGAAATATGTTATTGCTCTTCAGAATCATCCTTAGAAGATAACAAATTGGGAAAATTCCTCTCATCTTCCCCCTTTGTAACTGGGCAGCAGGGATTAGAATTTCAGGGTAGAAAAGGAATTTGAGGATTAAGCAAACCTATCATTTTACAAATGAGGAAACTGAGGCCCAGAGGGGTGAGGTGACTTACCTGAGGCCACCACTCTTGGAAATGACAGAAGAGGACTAAGGCAGCTTGAGATCCAGGCCAATGTGCTTCGAGTAACAGGAGTCAGAAGACTAGGGTGGCAGGAGAGAGGAAGAGAAGGTAACCACACAGCCCCTAGCAATGAAAACAACAAAAAGGACTTGAGGCACTCATAAATAATTAAGCAATTAGCTGAGCAGCTACTCCCCTCCCTCCGGCATGCAGTCACCAAGGCAACTTGGGCAGGGTGCCTGCTGGTTGCCTAGTAACAATGTGGCTGGCTCCCCTGACAGGCTTCCTAGGCATCACAGGATCTGAGAGCAGGGAAGAGCCTTGGGCAGGGATCATTATTCTAACACCTTCATTTTCCAGATGAGGAAAGGGAGGCACAGAGAAGCCGAGTAACCTATGCAATGTCACACAGCTACTCAGAGACACAGCCAGGCTCTCTATTTCCAGTTGTTTGCTGCACTAGGACTGCCTTGGGGACACTGCAGATGGGGGGTAGGGGAGATCACTCCATAATTCCTAGGAAAATAAGGAAGTAAGACCCAGCCAGCAAGCAAGAAAGAGACAGACCTGGAGTTCTCATGTGCAATTAGCTGGTAATTTGATCAGCCCAACTTTCATTATCACCATGGCAACATGGGTGAGGTGGGTGCTGGTTGCCTAGTAACAAGTGGTCTTCTGTCTTCCACTCCTATCAGGCTCCTTGGGAGTCACAGGAACAGTAGAATGTTGGAGCTGGAAAGGAAGGCAGAGATCCTAACTCAGTCTCTTTCTTTGACAAATGAGGAAATTGAGGTTTGGGACACTGTGGCAAGTCACACAGCCACAGAGCTCGCTAGTGATAGGGACTCATTGTCGGCCGGCCAGTCTTTTCTGAATTCCCTCCATTCACTGTCTCTGTCACAGCACTGCAGGAAAGTAAACTTCACGCAAAGTGAAGAGATTGGAGGGAAATGGCTGGTGGTCCCCAGAGGTGCTCCTACCACTTGTCTAAAGGTGGCTACGCCACACATAGGCCTGGCAAATAGTGGATGTACACGGAGGCACTATGCACAGTAGTTAAATCCAGGGATCTAAAGTCAGAAAACCTCCGTCAAAGCTCGCTCTCCCCAAACCTGGCAAGCTTCTTGTCTCTCTGTGCCTCGGTCTCCACATGTGAGAAATGGGCATCCCAACAGTGCCTACCTCTCACTGAGCATAAATTATCATCAAGACTAACTGAGAAAATGGACACATCGATTAGTAAGTATTTGTGGCATGTCCGCAACGCAAATGCCATGTCCCAGGCTCTGAGGTTCATTAGTGAGCAATACGGACAAAAGAAATCACTGCCTCAGGGAGCTCACTTTCCGGTGGAAAGACTTGTGCACGTGTGTGTGTGTGTGTGTGTGTTTGCATTTGTTAAATGTTTGTTGAATGGGTGGGGGAACTTACTGGCAATATCCTATGTTTATGTTGCTGGCTCTTTCTCTAAGTCTGAGCAGGCTCCTGTTTACAGGGCTGTCTGGTATGTGAGAGCTTTTTCCCCCCTTTCTTTTAAAAGCTCAGGAGAAATAGGAAGGCAGTGGCCACTAGATAGCAGACCCTAGATACAAGGCCCAGGGGGCAGGCCCAGGCCTGGGGCACACTTCCAGTGTTGTGGCTACGCAGTCCTAGGGGGTGGCCCAGAGGCTGAGGGAGATTGGGAAATCCCCTAGGACAGTGGGGAGGGAGAGAGGGGGAGGCTGTAGAGTGGTTTAAGAGTATTGCTTTAATCCCATGTACAAAAAATAATTCAAAACAGACCCAAGACCTAAATATAAGATCTAAAGCCATAAAGTACATAGAAGAAAACATAGGTACTAAACTGGTGGACCTTGGTCATTGAGGACATTTTATGAACTTGACCCCAAAAGCAAGGGAAGTAAAAGCAAAAATAAATGAATGGAACTATCTATAATAATAAAAGTGTAATATGCAAATCGACCGAATGGCCAAACAGCGGAACAACTGTCTGGATGACCTTCCGGACGACCTTCTGGACAAAGCTGGGACTGCGAGGGTGGCAGAGGCAGCTGGGGCTGCGAAGGCCTATCTTGCATGAATTTTGTGCATCAGGCCTCTACCTCTAATCCTATATAATAAAAGGCTAATATGTAAGTCAGCTGAAAGGCAGAACAACTGGTTACTATGATGCACACTGACCACCAGGGGGCAGACGATCAATGTAGGAGCTTCCCCCTGGTGGTCAGTGCGCTCCCACAGGGGGAGTGCCACTCAGCCAGAAGCCCTGAGCTGGGCTCATGGTTGGCAAGTGCACAGCAGTGGCGGGACCCTTTCCCACCTCCGCAGCAGTGCTAAGGATGTCCAACTGATGGCTTAGGCCCATCTTTCATCATCACCATGGCATCACCCTAAGCCATCAGTCGGACATCCCCTGAGGGCTCCCAGACTGCGAGAGGGTGCAGGCTGGGCTAAGGGACCCCCTTGAGTGCACGAATTTCATGCACTGGGCCTCTAGGGTTAAACTAAAAAGCTTTTGCATAGCAAAGAAACTGATAACAAAACAAAAAGGCAACCAAGCGAATGGAAGATGATATTTGCAGACAATAGCTCTGATAAGGGGTTAATATCCAAAATATATAAAGAACTCATACAACTCAACACCAAAGAAACAAAAACATTGAATAAGAAAAAAAAAAGCAGAGGACCTGAACAGACACCTCTCCCAAGAAGACATAAAAATGGCCAAGAGTTATATAAAAAGATGTTCAGCTTCATTAGCTATCATAAAAATGCAAATCAAACTACACTGAGATATCACCCTACACTTGTCAGAATGGCTATTATCTACAAGACACGTAGTAACAATGTGGGGGAGGATGTGGAGAAAAAGGAACCCTCATTGACTGCTGGTGGGAATATAAACTGGTACAGCCACTGTGGGAAACAGTATGGAAGCCCCTCAAAATATTAAGAGGACAGCTACAATATGACCCAGCAACTTCTCCTGGGCATCTACCCGAATAACTCAAAAACATCTATTTGCAAAGATATATGCACCCCTATGTTCACTGCAGTGTTATTCACAATGGCCAAGACCAGGGGTCCTCAAACTACGGCCCGCGGGCCACATGCAAATACAAATAATGTATTTGTTCCCATTTTGTTTTTTTACTTCAAAATAAGATATGTGCAGTGTGCATAGGAATTTGTTCATAGTTTTTTTTAAACTATAGTCGGCCCTCCAACGGTCTGAGGGACAGTGAACTGGCCCCCTGTTTAAAAAGTTTGAGGATCCCTGACCAAGACACAGAAACAGCCAAAGTGCCCCGCAATAGAGGACTGGATCAAGAAGATGAGGTACATATACACAATGGAATAGTATTCAGCCATAAGAAAGGAAGAAATAGCACCATTTGCGACAACATGGATGGACCTTCAAAGTATTACGCTAAGTGAACTCAGTCAGAAAAAGCTAAGAACCATGTGATTTCGCTCGTATGTGGGATATAAAACTGAAACTCAGACACATAGACAGACAACAGTATGGTGGTTACAAGAGGGAGGGCGCAGGAGCAGTAAATGGTGGCAGAAGATGATTTGACTTTGGGTGGTGGGCACACTATGCAATATACAGCTCATGTATCATAGAGATGTAACTTGCAACCTATATGATCCTATTGACCAATGTCACTCCAATGAATTTAATTTTTAATAAAGAGAGTGACTGCTTTAGTGAGCCGAGTCCCACTTTGACCAGGACCCTGCAGGGTCAGCTGTGTGACTCCAGGGAGTTACCGAGCTTGCTGAGCTCTGACTTCTCGCTGAACACGGAGAAAACGACTGCTTTGAGGCGCACGCAAGAAACTATGTCTGATGCAAACTCAACGAGTGTTACTTTACAGAAAAGCTCAACCAGTGTTATCATCTAGAACCGAAAGACCCCTGAAGGCCTGGCTCTGAGGGGCGAGCGAAGGGGAGGGGAGGGGAGACAGCGTGTGGGAAGCATCTGCAGGGAGCAGACTGAGGGCCTGCCAGTCACCGCGCCTGGACAAAGTGACAATGAGGCTCCGTTGTCCACCCTCCACATCCACATGCCCCCGTCCACAGTCCTTATTTGGGTCACCCTGTTCCCCTTGCACTGGTCTTCCCAGTGGTCCACCCACTCCCAGTCCTCACTTCCTCCAAGCCTAGCCAAGCACACCCCCTCCTCGCTGGTCTCCCCGCTTCCAGCACTAGCCCCTAACCTCCCACTGCCAGGCAGCAGCTGAGCACTGTCCCCAAACAGTGATGTGACCACACCCACAGGGCGTTGCTGGCTTCCTACTGCCCCAGGACCAAGCCCAGACGCTTTCTGGTGGCCAGCAGGGCTTGGCATGTCCTGCATCCTGTGCTCTCCCCTTTCCTTGAGCTTCTGGCCCGGGAGCACCTGCACAGGCGGTTCCCTCTTAACCCTCCCATCCCTCCGCTCTGCATGGCTGGCTCCTCCCACTCGAGCCTCCTAGGAGGTCTTCCCGCCCCAGGCTCCAGAGCAGACCCCTCCCTGATTGTTTCCTTCATGGCACATGTCACAGCAGCACTGACCCTCTGCCTGTCTCCCAGGCCTGGGCCCCCCTTGAGCACCCCTATGCCCTGGTGCCTAGCACAGGGCTGGCCACATGGATAGCACCCCAAAAAGTTATTAAAAAGATGAGCTGGGTACACAACAACTGATTGAAAGAAGTAGTCTGAGAATTCATCTCCAAATTTCTAGTCTTTCTCCTCTGCCAATTTACCCTTCCCGTGGATGGCAGGCTCACTTCCCTAAAATGCACCTTTCCCCTGTACTTCTTTGCTCATAGTCGTAACTGGTCTGCTGTCTCTCACAGGCAGAGTCTTGAAACCTCCAGTCCAGCATGGGAAACCCTCCCCACCTAACCCACCTCTCCAAAAGCATCGGCAAGTCCATCTCTTTATACACTTGGTTACATGTCATGTGACAACATTCCCTTGTGCCTGGCAACACGTGCGTATACTCAACACATGTCTTTGTTATATTTGGATGCAGCCTCTTCCCCTTGGTGGGTGTTCGGCTCACACGGCCTGAGCTCCAGGGCTGGGCTGGGCCCCGCTCCTCCCCACGTCCTCCCAGCTCCTCGTGCAGCACCTGCGCATGGAGATCGGCTTTCCGGAGCCAGCAATCCATCTAATCCCCGCTCAGCAAGCACCCTGTGTGCTCACATAGCCATAC